ATAAGTAAAATATTACTGTACGTGTTTTTTATATACATTTCATTCATCTACGTGGATTCCTGACCAGTAGTTAAAAGATGCAGAGCTTTCCGAAGATTCATTACAGAAGTAGCTACGTCATCATAGTCCAATGCACTGCTTGCCCATTTGATAAATTTTTGAGCCTTACCGATTTGCTCAACCGACAATTTAGCACCACCTAAAATTATATCACACCTGATAAAATAATTATTTCATTTTCTTGTATTTCTAAATTTGAATTTTTCTTATCCATTTTATCCCGTTCATAAATATCAATTTACATGAAACTTACTTTCTGTTTTACAGGTATCATCTTCTGATTCAAACGATTGTGTCCTTGTAGTTGGTGGATTTGGAGGAACAGATGGAATGTCTAGCGAAGTATTATCCTTAGGACTTGTAGGACTTACATTTGATTTAACCTCTTCATCTAACAGTCATAAAATGTTTCTCAAAATTTCAAAAATTCATGAGGATAAATAGCCAATACTTACCAATGTCATTCGATGTTTTATGTGAATCGTTTTCATCATTTGCTTCATTTAGTGGCCCTGGCACTGGAGTCTCTCCATTAATTAGACAATTGTGAATATAAGCTGCTTTCCATTGAGCGTACTTCCGATTCTGTGCAGCTTCTACACTCAATTCTCCAAACAATGTCAATACATCATACAGCATCTGAGCGGTATAGAAACTCTGTACTACTTTCTGAGAAAAATTTGCAGCCCTGTCGTTCTTATCAGCATATAAAAAAAGTTTCAAAGCCCAATTTTCTAAGTGAGCTTGAGCAGCTACATCATTAGTAATGGCTTCATTGTCATGCAGTTCTTTCTTTGTTGTTTCCAACCAGTCCATTAGCTTCAGGAGAAAATTGGTCTCTTCTGATGTCTTGGTTGACAACTTCAATCCAGTTTGAAGAGAATACAAGCGACCTGTTTTAGATGTAAATTTTAATAATTTTCCATCACTTTAAAGTAGAGAGCAAGGAATGTTTAACTTTTAATGAAAGATACATTTATTTTAGAAAATATCTTTATTTTCTTCTCTGTATGTGAAACTAACTTTACTGAAATATTTCTGTAATTTCTAGAATTAAGGTTTAGATTTAGAATACATAATATATTATTAATATACATACACCAATAGCTGACGACGCTATCTCGCTGGTCATGCTTCGACGCGATTGTTAAATAGTGTTGTATAGATTTTAAAGGAGTCGGAACTTTCGGCAAATTAGGTCCTGTCAGTGCCATTGGAATAAGAAATACCAAAGGTATATGTTAAGAAAATACTTCTCTTATTTCTCTGGTATCCGTATTTATATATTCCAATATACAAAGAATAATTATTAGTCTGTATACATCAGCAACAAGATTTTAACACTCAACGATAATACGATTTTTTATCACAAAATACGTCAATTACATATGATTACATACGTTCTTCAGAAAACATTAAAGTGGTGTTTTCACATCAACGACGTAATGCCCGTATCACACTAGCAATTGGAGATTGCGTCTATGTTCGCGTTGCGTCTTTCGGCCAATCAGAAAGGACCTGCTGATCAGCAGACCAATGGCGGGGAACAAATCGAGAGTTGCGCGTCCTTTCGATTAAGAAGAAACCTATGGTAATACCTTCATGAATCTTGCTGGTGGTTCGGTCCGTGGTGCGGGACGCGCGGCTCAGTCTGGACTCTGGTTGGTCAGGCTCCTTGTAGGTGCTCGATGATTGGCCGGCGCTGATTCCGCTCGTTCACACACACGATCTCCAAGTTAAACGATAAACGTATACGCGCGGCGGCGTTTATTGTAAAAGGAGAGGTTTCGTCAAATATTAATATATATATGTACTTATAATTGCTCAAAAGTAATTAGTGTATTTTATAACTTCTGCAGTTGCTACACACATATCCAGACTTATGTTATAACTATTTATAATAATTAGACGCGGTTAACTAGGAAGATTAAATAAGATGTACCTATGATTAGATTGGATTGCTCACGCGAGTAGAATTTAGGAATTTAACTAGAAATCGCGATACTCTGGAAGAGACCGTTTCTCTTCGACCAGACCCGACCCCGGGAAGTTTTGAACTACTCCTCAAAAACTCGCTGCTCGCGAGAGCAAGTCCCGTTTTTAGAACCCGAACGCTTTCAGGAAAAAGGTGCCCCTCCATGCTGGTAGGGCGCGTGAGGTGGGGAGAAGATGTCAGGGGCGGTCCCTGCAGTTCTAGTGCCCCGTCGGTTATTGAAGTAAGGAAAAATTTGTAATTTGGCCAGGACATTCCTGGACAAGTTTTATAAGTACCGCTGACGTGACACAGTTTCGTTTTCATTGGTCAAGAGACGCAACGCGAAAACAGAATTCGTATGTACTTGACCATCGACGAGATACTATTAAAGATCGTCTGCTCTGGGCAAATTTTTGTGAATATCAATGGAGTCCCAGGGTAAACATCACATAGATTTCACATAAATAATCCTTGTAGACGTAACCTTAAAATCTATGACACAACCCAGGATCCCCTTAATAATCATAAATTTTTGTTAATTGTATAATGTCACCATTCTGCAATTATCCCTGGGAGTTGTTGGGAGTCCTGAGTATCAATCATGAAACTTTTTTCCTAGGATAAAAAGTGAAAAATTTCTCCATTAATTTCAATAGTTAAATTTTTCACTTTTCACTTTCCATTTTAGGGATAAAATTTCATGATTGATACCCAGGACTCCCAACAACTCCCAGGGATAATTGCAGAACGGTGACATTACACAATTAACAAAAATTTATGATTATTAAGGGGATCCTGAACCAGGGTTGTGCCATAGATTTTAAGGTTACGTCTACAAGGATTATTTATGTGAAATCTACGTGATGTTTACATGGTCTTTTATCACGTAAACAATATAGACTATGTGGACTATATTATAAAATGCATCAGTAACATGTTTTATATAATAAAAAATTAAACAATATAGACTATGTGGACTATATTATAAAATGCATCAGTAACATGTTTTATACAATATAAAAAAATTAAAAATTAAATTATAAAACAGTCTTTACATCCATAGAGTAGAATTGTCAAAAATACGCCTAGGAATAGCCCAGACAGCACAGCATACAACATTAATGGAATGTATATGAACGTTCTAAGAATGTCTTGTACATTCTTAAAATGTTCTATGAACGTCTTTTGAAGTTTGGTGCTGTATGGGAGGTTATAAAAATATACGGCGATATTTGTAGGATATTCCTGTGATGCATTTTAAATATTTCAGCTATGTGGACACACATACATATTCCCACTATATATGTAAATTATATAAATACCTATTATGTAAATAAAATTATGTAAGCATTTATTAAATCCATAAATTATGTGGATTCTACTTTTTTAAGAAACGTTTGTAAATTATAATATCAAAATTCTAAGGATTAAATTAAGGAAAGTAAAAAACTTTTATTATTACTTTTGTTACTACAATGTGCACAATGTGCATATTGTTTCTTATTATTAAAGTAAAATCCAATTTATTAAATTCATTATTTATTTTTCGTGACATGTTTGAGGCAACGAATTGTTATATTAAAAAATCCAGTTTATAAATATTAATACAAACGTTAGCCATAAACGTGAGCCATAAAATTTTACTTCTACAAATATTAATAATATAAGATATTATATGTCACGTCACACGTACGCATCTACTGCATACATACTACTACATACACACATACATATTATAATTAATTATATTAATTTAAAGTCAGTCTAATTGTAAGCTCGAAATACGCCACGATTTTGTTTAATTTGTTTTGAAAAAATTAAAAGTTCACTTTATTTTACCTTTCACAGCTGTCACCTCAGGTTATAATTTCCTTAGGCCCGATTGCACCAACATTACTTTAATTTTAAGCGAAGCTTAAAACTCTCTTTGTCCCTGTCTCTTTTCTTTTAAAACGAGTTGGTGCAACCGGGCCTTAGTGCAGAAATTCTGTATTCAAATGATACTTTTCCCAGAAGTGTATGACATATACAAATAATCCTGAGTTTGCGAAGTTATGATCAAAGGCCTAACAAAAAAGATTTTCCAAAATTAAAATCGTATTTTTTGTATAACAATTACTTTTTCCCTCTTTTAAAGATTCCAAAATCCTTTTCCACAATTAAATTATACACATTAATTCTTGTATGTGAGGTGGAATTTATTCCGAGAAAACACAAAAAATTTCGAAATTGAAATTTTTAGAAAAATCAATATCAGGCTAAATGCAAAATAAAAACTACAAAATATAATTTATTGTTTTATATTTTAATTATGCTAGAAGTATCTTATTGCTGATTTCGATACTTGTATAAATATTTATAGAAATATTTATAATTTCTTGAATATATAAAATAAACATTTCATCTCTTGTATTCTTATTAAAATATCGCAATTTTTATAATAAATGAACAATTTCTAGCATGGTTAAAAGAATAAATATACGCTCATAAATACGTAAAAATGATGCATGTATAAACGAATATTGCGCATTAAATTTTTCTGTTTCGTTGAAATATCAAAGGCTTTAACATAAGGTATATTACTAAATGATATATTACACTAATGATAATTTGCATTACTTGTAAAAATAAATAAAAATAAAATTATGATAATTTAACAAATATAAAATAACTGCAGATCAAATTTTTTTCATTCTATTAAAACATTAAATGCATTAAAATATGAAGTATTTCACTAAATAAAAGTAACAATAATAATTCAAGAAAACGTTGCAATCATTTTTCCAAAATTGCTAAAAGTTAATAGTATCTCGCATTTTTCTTCCGTGAACAAGTTAACAGTAAGAAAATATGAAGTATTATTCATTAAAAATAATATAAATAAGTTCCGCAATGTAAATATGATATTAAATTTATAAGATTAACATTATAATTAAATATACGATGCTTATATTAGTTATATTATTTAATTTAATTTTCCCATTTTCCAAATACGTAGAGTACGAAAACACTCAGCCTGCTGCAGAATAAGCTTCTTTTGTGCATGCAATTCTATGAATGAATTGTGTAATATTAAGCAGATGTAATAAGAAAATAAGATAAAATTATCTATTATTTTTTATGTATTTAAATGTAATAAATATATTACAAACGTAGTAATACTTACCGAGAAGTATATTAAAAGCGTCAGCAGCATCCTCTGCCGTAAATGTATCCTTTGGAATAAGCTGACTGAACTTGACGCACGGTTCGTTGAACCAAAAAACTTCTAATTGAGCCAAAATATCTTTACTTGTTAATTCGGGTTGTAAAATCCCATTTGAGCTACTAATAAAACAATATTTTTTTTTATATCAAACAATTCTTTGATAAATGATAAAATTGAAATAACAATATACTAAGTTTCATAAGAGAAAGAGTTACGTAAAATTTGTTAAACAAAGCAATAAAAATTTTATGCTTGCTTCAAACTTTCGATTAATGATTTTCAAATATCTATTTATAAATAAATTTATGAAAATTGTTAAATACACATTTAGAATATTGTTATGTTTAACTCTTTATTGGACAACAACAAAAAATTCAAAATACGTGGCAGGAGATCCTAAAATGGATTTCGAAAGATGTCTTTCTAATGATTGTCTTTCTAGTAAAGCATTTATATCTTCCAAGCTTTCGTCAATGTTACTTATACTTGGTAGTTTTTCTTGATCTCGCCTGTGCTCAACAGTGCTGAAATAGTATAATTTAATGATAAAATATTAAGATGCAAAATTGAAATATTAAACAAATATAAAATATCAAATAATAGATATTGAGAAATTGAAAAAAATATTGAAAAATTAAAAGACTGAACAAAACTGAATAATCTTTAATAATTAAATTTCATCATATGTATATATATATATATATATATATATATATCAATAGTTTATATACATAAATATCAATTATTCTTTATTTATAATAAAATAGACTATTACCTAATGCCTTCTTCTAAAGTAATCGTATGCGGTATTACTTCCTGTAACGGTGGCACTGACACATCTGCGTGAGCTATTGGCATTGGCAAAACGTTTACAATACTATCTATGGGTTCATTCACAAATGTACTCAAATCTTCCATAGGAAGATTTTGCTTGTTAATTGTCTCTTCTATACGGATTGCTTCTTGAACTACAAGTATGACGTTATTTATTATAAAGTTTGGCATTAACGTGAACATTTAACAAACATCTGAATATATCTACATTGCACAAATTCAGCAGGTGCAACATCTTCATCTACACTTGTAAATGGTCCGGTGATGTGATCAACAAAAAGATTGCGTAAACTAGCGTTCCATTGCTTAGATAAGTATGAAGGTTCCTTGAGAAGATTTATCACTGATGTCAAACGTTTTTTCGGCTTATCTATTTTCTAAATATAATGGAAGAATCTAATCAGAACATCTTCATTCAGATTAAAATTTCTCATTTCGAATTTCATTGTAAGTTTATATAAATATTTTTTGTAAATTTATATAATTTATTTTTTAGGAATTTACCTTGCTATGAATATTTACATTCTCACGCCATTTCCAAAGTTGTTTATCAGTTAAGACAATCTCTTTATCAATAATTTTACGTTTTTTCGAATGCTTGTTAATCACAAAGTAGCTTGAATTTAATGATTCTAATTCTATGTCTATTTGTTGTGAAGGAACTAACATTCCCGTTTTTTCTGCAGGCAATTCAGGAGCCGGTATTGCCAAATCTTCTGCAAGGGATACTGCCACATCTTCTGCAGGAGGCATGGCTGCAGTTTCAAAAGATAACTAAAATAATATAAAGAATTAGAATTTAAAATTAAATAAATAAAAAGTAATAAAAAATAATTTTTCGATTTTTCAAACAAAAAGAAAAGAAAGTTATTATCATTATGTCATGGCAAACATTCTCGTTTACTTTTTATTTTATGAATTTAAAATATTCTCACTAAATTCTAAAACAATCAGTATAACATACGCGTCTTTTCTTTGTAGGTGTTTCGGGTTGAATTTGCGGTTGCCGTTTTTGTGGAGTGAGAGATAAATTTCCTTTGGACTTAGTTCTTCTTTTTGATATATTCACAAGCACTGGACTAAGGTTTTCTTGTGATGAATGTCGATGAACCTCTGTTCATTACAATTTAATTTACATATAATAATACATCTGCACATTATTTTTTTGATATACCATTAATATACTTACCTTCTGCAATTGTTATACCAGCCAACCCCTCCAAAATGTTTCTTTCTTCACTAATATGTAAATTTCGCAAATCATTAGAAAATTATTAATAGCAAACTATACATCATTCTTTGTATTAAAAATAATATAAATTAATTTTAAGATAATGATATAAATGTAAAGAAAAATTAAAAATCTTACAGAATATTTCTAAAGAATGCTTGCTAAACTAAAATTAAGAAGTTATTATAATATAAAAAAAGACACAAGAATAAAAAACTAACAATGACATATTGTTACACAGAAACAATTCCAACTCTTCATCATTTAAGCAACCAAAATTCAGGAGTTCCGCATCTCGCATCTATGGATAAAAAAGATTTTATTACACTCTGAATACAACAGAAGTGAATAAAATTTACAAAGAGCAAAAATTTAGAAATGCAAAGAATATATTTCAGAATCCAGTTAAGAATAAGGATTTAAAAATAAGTAAATTTGCTAATAATAAGTTTATAAACATATGAGATCTTCACTTACAACTATTTGTAACGTATCATGGGGCTGATCTTCAGGAAGAATATGTAAGTCTTCTTTCAAGAGTTGAGCGCTAAAAAAATCTTTAGGCAATTCTATGTCAGGACATTCAATATTCCTAAAATCATCAAACTTATCCCCTTTCTTCTTTGATACAGAAGGTTCAAGATTTTGTTCAAATTTAAAAATGTCCTCTAAAAAGTGATAAAGTATTATGTAGATTGAGAGACATACATTGTATTATATCATTAATAAATAATTAGAATAAAAACTTACTCTCATAGTATTCAACCTGATAAGAATGAATTTTTGTTATACCGGACATTAATTGTGATGACAGATACAAACTGAATCTATTATCTGATTTGCCATTAGAAGACTGTATTACTTCCAGAATATCATTGCTGATGATACAATATAAAATGTAAACAAAATATCAGAATTAATGAAATTGCATTCATTATAAATATTGAATAGAGAATAGTATTGAGCCTAAATGAAATAACATATAATGTACCACGTTTGTTCAACATTCATCTTCTTTATAGCATCAGAAGTGTAGAGTTTCTTAAATGATGCCTCACTATTCGTTGAAGCAAGCCAAGAAGCAGCAAATTTGCCCCTTTGTCGACGGGAAAGTAGATTAATTGGGTAAAACATCTGATGAATAATAGATCTCATTAATAAAAATAGATTTTCAGATAGTAAATGAAAGACCATGTCAAAAAAATAAAAATGAAAATAATAATAACAGAAAATAGCCGAAATTACCTTAATTTGGTATTAACTGATTACCTTAATTCTGGATATTTGTCAAATGTAACAACTAATGGCTTCTTTCTGGAGTCATCGACTATAGAATATCTCAATTTTTATATAATAATACTTGGATCTGTTTCTTTCAGATCCGTTTTCTCGCTTTTTCCTTCTTTATCAGTTATTTTTTTCATGCGAAGTACAACATGATACATCTACTGAACGAATATTTTCCTCACATTGTCATTTTCAAATTGTTGAGCTACGCGCGGAAAGTACTGAAAAATTCGTTGTAGGTATGGTTAAAGTCTTATTACAAATGTTTTGAGCATTCGATTGACCAATCAAAGAAAGAATTTTACGAATTGACCAATCAAAGAATGTTTCAAAGAATTTGTAACATCATGCTCCAACATGCTCCTACTTCCTTCAACCGTACTTCTTACTCACTCAAACGCGCTCGTTAAAATGAGTAAATGCTGGTAGGAACATGTTGAAGCATGTTGGAGTATGCGACGCGATAAACCTATAGGTTAATTCGTTCACGTCACATACTTCAATGTGCTCCTATTAAGCTCTATTCACTTCAACGAGCGCATTAAGGTGCATTCACATGCAAGCGTCAAGCAGCGGAAGCAGCAACCAATCAACGAGACAATTTTTACAGTGGCGTAAAAAATATTTTTTACCCACTACTCGTATCGCCCAGCTGATAAATGTACCAGGTCAACGCGTGTTGCAAACGCTTTGAAGCGTTTTTTAATTGGTCAGTTTGTAAAATTCTTTCTTCTCATTGGTCCATCAAATGCTTCAAAGCATTTGTAGCGAGACTTTGACCACAGACTTAGTCCGGATTTACAATAGGTGTTTTAAGTCTTTGGGAGCGTTTATTTTGGCCGTAACCGTATGCTGTAATCTTACAAGAATTAACTAATCACAATCAAATATTCCCCTCTCATTCGATGGTAAGAAGGGAATATTCGAAGGTGATTGGTCAATTTTTACAGGGTATCGATTCTGGTATTGATATCTTACAAAAGTGAGCAAATTTACTAGAATATTAATAATTTCATTGGTCAACATTTAGTAAATTTGTTTACTTTGTAATTTTTACCTTGTTTGAAGATACAGAATCGACCCCCAGGTTATGGCATATGGTTATGGTCAATATAAACGCTCCCTTAAGATTATTCTTACACCTAGGCTATGTTCCAAATCTTCCAAGGAAGATTTTGCTTTATATGCTATAGTATACGTTACGTGTACTATATATTTCGAATAAAATTTTCCTCGGAAAGGAAGTTTTAGAACGTAGCCTTAAAGAATTGAGATAAAGTGAACTTTTAATTTTTTCCTCGATTTTCTTGTCAAATTTAGTGTGGCCGGTGTTTTTTTTATGCGTACTTTTATTGTGTAAAAGGATTTGGTGATCTATAAAGTTAAATCGGAGAAATTGGAAATCTGCAATTGTCGGTAATTCCTGTTGGTTTAGGATCCCTTTAACATCAATATTTCGATAATTTATTATTAATTTCGTGATCTTTTATTGTATCTATAAATGCTGTATAAATAAGTACGCACATACTTTTAATGTTATAATATCTTATATATTGCCGACAAATTACAATTTTTTCTCTGCAGTCTCTATTGATAATCAAACTCGGATGATAACCGTAAAATTACAGTTTTAAATAAACATCGAATATTATTAAGTTTTAAACATATATACATGTCTACGAAACTAATCATGAAATTAATATCGTATTTTCAGTTTCTTACTCTTAGGCCCGATTGCATCAACATAATATAATGAATTTCATTTTATATCCTTTACCATAATAAAAATTTATTTTCCATGAGCTTTTTCCCACTTCAATATTAATGTTTTTTTTTTAATATAATAAAAATATATATTTCTAATTTATACTTTTCAATGATCATTTTTTTTACATATTTGGCAAGTACTCATTTCTGTCTCTCGAGCTGTAATTTCAAAATTATCGTGGTGAATCTGCGCAGAACCGTACAAAATTCGTCTCAAGAAATTTCCTCCATCATCACCGGCATTATTTCTATGCGAAGAAACAAAAAACATGGCGGTGTCCCCACCCTAGTGCGTTGTTACTTGTGTCATATCGCATGTGATTCGAATTGTCAGCTGAATTTGTCGGACGACATTTTCATCGTCGTTATTCTGTATCTTATGTTGCGTGTCACGAATCAAGTTCAATAAATAATGTAATGGGAAAAACCTGATTCCATAACAATGTCAAAATTGAATGGATTACTTTTTCTTTCGTCTTTATCGGCTATTATTACTTCGGCTGTACGTAATGCATATTTAATTTTGTGTTTACCTTTTTAACTATATAAACTTCAAATCACCATTATATATTTATGCATTTATACATATTATTTACTTGTTTTAAGCAGATAATTTGTCCAGAAATAATACTGATTAAATATCTGAATTTTGTTATTTACATTTGCTTAATTGATCTTAATAAAGTGGCTACTTTATTCTTGATGACATGTTTATCTGAATTAATTTAAAAAATTAGAAATTTTTTTTATTGTAGGTTTTAACCGTCAATCCTTCAAAATATTGTGAAGTACCTGAACGTAAGTTAAGTTTTATATATAATTTAACAAAACTAACATCAGATAAAGAAGATATTATCATCAAGCATGATTATGAGACGATACGTATGCAACTATGTTCTCCATTAATTAAAAAATGTAATAACCAAGATGGCTACGCAATATGTCTAATAAAAAACAATACAGAAAAAGGAATAGGTAATGTTGTACAATTTAAATTATATTTTTATATATTAAAGTATATTATCATAAGTCTGATAAAGGAATTAATTTTTTTACAAACAGGAAGGTTTCCTCCAAAATTAGATAATGAACAAAGAAGAATTTTATTTAATTTTACTGGTGATGATTGTTTACATGGAACCAATTATACAGTGACAGTTATTATGTTTTGTGATTATGATGCAGAGACTAATTCATATCCTGAATTATTTTCGCATGTAAGTAGTTTAAAAAAAATATATTTATATCAAGTGAAATGTGTAATAAAAATATTTTAGGGTGATCAACAATGTAACTTATATATGATATGGAAGACTGCGTTAGCTTGTTTACCTAGAACCCAAACAAATTGTACAGTTGTTAATGCTGGACATTATTATGATTTAAGTCTTTTAACAAGACCTTCAGAAAATTATGTGATTCCTTTGCATATAAAAAATAAAACAAAATCACCTAAAATAATATTAAATGTCTGCCAGTCTATACTACATCATGGTATCATGTGTCCAATTAAATCTGGAGCATGCTTAGACGATCCTGAAAAACCTAATAGGTAGGTATCAACAAGCAGATTTTTTATTAAAATTAATTGTAACGTAAATATAATATTTATATAATTTGATTGTATAATTTTTGTATAAGGGTAAATCTTTTTCTTTAAAAATAAATTGATTTTTGTTTTATTTTATTATAGATATTTAAGTTTAGGAGAAGTACAAAAGCCTCCTTTCTTTAAAGATGGAACATTACAAATAGAATATCAAGATGGTGCGTTATGCACACAAAATGTTACAACTCCACATGTTAAAACAACTATTCATTTTAGATGTGATTTGGAAGCTAAGGTATAACAGCAGCTAATAACAAAGGACATTTTCTATCAAGGACGTATAATATAGTAAATTATTATAGCCTTGTTGTTTGCTAATGTTAAACAAAGATGAAACGATTCACTGTCACATCATGGTCTGGTTTCTTATTTTCTGGTTAATTTGTAATTAAGCTTAATCTGATATTTTATCCAATGAGCTTCATCTATGATGATATCATGGGTGAAACCCATATAGGATAAAACATCATATTAAGCTTAACCAGATAATAAAAAATTGGATTTGTGTCCTTGCTGAAAAGTGCCAAAAACATATATATAAAACATTGTACATATTTACATGTACATATATATAAAAAAAATGCTTTATGAATATTATAATGTTGTTATCAGGGTCCTCCAGAATATATTTTGGGAAGTGGGATAGAAGATTGTCACTATCAATTAGTATGGTATACTGCTGCAGCATGTGATATTGAGACTCTTCGTGATTATAGTGCTAAAAGAGCAGGCAAATGCAATGTTACGAATCCAATTACAAATTTTACGTAAGAATATTTCTTTTATATTATATGTTTTACCTATACAACATGTTTATAACTTAATTATATATTTTGTAATATGCAGATATGATTTACAAACATTAATGAACAAAGACTTCACTGTTACAAATGTAAATGGTGTAAAATACAAATTTAGAGTTTGCAATGCGCTTATGGATAATACATGTGGGGATAAAACAGGTGCTACATCATATCATGAAACTATATTGCATATTGTGATTATGTGATGGATCTAAATTTTATCTATCAATTCTTTATGTAGGAATATGTAACTCAAAATATGGTACATCGTTAGGACAAGCTAACGCGAACTTAACATGGCAGCAAAGTGGTCCCTATTTAAATTATACCAATGGAGATTTATGCGAAAATGGAATGAGTCACTATACACTTATCAGATTTTTTTGTGAACCTCAAGGATTGCCTAGTCGACCATTGCTCATAAAAGAATTTACTTGTCAAACTATTATACACTGGAATACAGATTTAGTTTGTGAGAAAAAAGTAAGCATAATTATATACATGCTACTGGTTTTTCTCTTGACATAATCAATGAAGAATTATTCTTTTGTATAGATTAAATGTACTACCGATATTGATGATGAAATCAATTTAACTCCTCTTATACAGTCTACAAATAATTATATCATTAAAGCCAACGATACGGAATTTCACATAAATATATGTCGACCATTGATTTCTACTCAAGGTCTTTTATGTGCACATGGTAGTGCTGCTTGTAAGGTTTCGGTAACTTCAAAGAATGAATATACGAATGAAATTGTGGGTACAAATTTATTTAAACTTTAAACAATTAGTGATATTATAATTGATACTGTATAGTGACTTATTAATAATATCTAAATTAATAATATCTATATTTTTATTATAATAATTTAGAGTTTAGGATTTCCCGAAGATAGTCCAACATTAAATAAAGATTTACAAACAATACTACGTTATGTCAATGGATCACAATGTCCTGAGAATCCAACTAAAACGATATCTTCGAATTTTATATTTATTTGCGATAATAACAATCAGGTAATAGCATACAGTAATTTCTAGAAAAGAAATTTTTAATCTGAATTTTAATATTTATAATGATAAATCTATCATTGAAATTGAGATCAAACTTTATATTGAAATAATTTTAAAGAAAGTCATTATTTTGTTGGAGTTTTATTAAACATTAAAAGAATAACATCTTTAAATAAGCATAGAACTACTTAAATTTATGGATAAAATCTTTATTTTATAAAAAAAATTAGTATATTCTCTAATGTTTTTTTGTGTTTTAGGGAC